CACCCTCGGTATATGGGGCTGGCACCCTACCCACTGAGCCACAGGTGCCGCCCATGATAGAAATATCTTTATTGTAGTGTTATTTTTGGTCTTCTGGATCATAAAGGAATTATAGGATCAAATGACAGTCTATTTTTAGTTCTTTAAGTATTCTCCAGATGTCTTTCCAAAAGGAACATATTAGTTTGCAAAAAGGGAACACTTCTACACTGCTGGTGGGATTGCCAACATGAAATAGTTTTTGCCATAAACTGTCTTGTTATGTCAAACTCTGTCTTCCCACTTGATGACAGGATCTTTTTTCTTTCTTTTTTTCTCTCTCTCTTTTTTGAAACAGAGCCTTGATCTGTCACCTAGGGAGTCAGAAGGGTTACAGTGCAGTAGTGTCATCATAGCACAGTGCAACCTCAAATTCCTGGGCTCAGGTGATCTTCCTGCCACAGCCTCCCAAGTAGCTGGGACTCTGGGACTATAGGCGAGCACCAGCCACCATGCTCAGCTAATTTTTTTTTTTTTTTTTTTAAAGATGGGGCCTCCCTTTTTCCCAGACTGGCCTTGATTGAACCCCTGGCCTCAAGTGGTCCTCTTGCCTCAGCTTCCCAAATTGTTTAGATTATAGGCAAGAGCCAACATACCCAGACCTTACTTTTCATTTACTTTTAGCAATTAAAATAGTATCTGTCAGTTATTTAAAATTTAGTTCTTAAATTTTAAATTTCTAATCTCATTTTTCAATTTAAACTTCCTCTTATCTCCATTCGAGGATAGCTTTGGAGTTGAGGAGAGGTATGTTCTGGCTCTCTCAGGCCCCCTTCCCCTTCCTAATGCATAATTTGATGTTGCAGTGACTAGGAAAGATAGGAGCAGGGGTCCACTTTTCTGGACATGAAACAGAATCTTCTGTTTTAGATTACAAATTGCTGCCCCGTGATATTGGCAGATAGCACTAGTGGAAATAATGATGGAACTTGTTCTGCTAAAATAGCTACTTCTGTATAAAGGTGATGACCTTAGTAGCCAGCAGTTCTTTGA